TTGCTTCTGGACTGGAAATGGACAATGGGGTTTAATTCAGACACAGACCCTTTTTAGATGCTGCCCTTCAAGCAGAGTCTGGAGGTAGAAGCAGCTAGAAGTGGCTTCGTCTTGCTGACGGAGGTGTGGGGAGCCTGTGCATTAAGGGAGAGTCAGAAGCAAGGACACAGCAAATAATCCTGGAAAGCACAGTGCGATCTACACACTGACTCCTGGAAGCAGTTTGGGACATTTATAAGAGTAGACTGCCTCTTCTGCTTTGTGCCAAATGGGACTTGATGGGTCAGGCCGAGCCCATCTTCCATGGTCAGTGTCCCTTTGGAGACATTCCACAATGTGACCCTTGTGGAAATTCCTCCCTAAGGTGCTTTTCTCTTTCCCAGCACTTTCCATGCCTTCTTAGCACCAACCTGCTTCTGGGAGCAGGTGCAGAGCATGAGGTGGGGGCCGTGCTGAGGACGTGCGAGCATGCGGAGGCCCACTCCCCAGAGGGGCACATGGCTTGTCTCTAATCTCACCAACTGCACTTCCTTGAGGCCCCACCTGGCGGAGGAGACAAGAGCCAAGAGGAGCACAGGGACTGCGTTTACCGTTCTTTCCCATGGGGCGTGCATTAGTCCTGTGGCCACCGCAACAAAATACCACGAACTGGGTGGCTTGAAACAACAGAAATTCATTCTCTCACACTTCTGGAGGCCAGAAGCCCAAAACCAAGGTGTTGGCAGGGCCAGGCTCCCTCTGGGCTCAAGGGGAGAATCCATTCCCTGCCTCTTCCAGCTTCTAGTGGCTGCTGGCCTTCTTTGGTTTGGGGCTGCATCCTCCCGTCTCTGCCTCTGTCTCCCTCCATATGTGTGCGGGTGTCTTCTCTTCTGTCTCTTATGGGGACACTTGTTATTAGATTTAGGGTCCACCCTCATCCAGGATGATCTCATCTTGAGATCCTTAATCACATCCGCAAAGACTCTTTTTCCCAAATGTGGTCACATTCACAGGTTCTGAGGATTAGGACAGGGAACAGATCTTTTTTGGGGACCACTATCCAACCCACGATAGACATTTCTGGTGTCATTTTCAGCTCTTAAAATTCAAAACAGAAATAGAAATGATGCTTGAAGCCAAGGTTTACTTTCCTCCCCGAGGCTGGCTCCTAGCCATGGCTTTGCGTCCCGGAGGAATTCCAGAGGAACCAGGAAGGCCACCTACTTTTCCAGATAGTGTATTTATGGAACTAGAATTTCCATCCCAGGGCTTGGATAACTGTGCCTGCTATCTTGCACCTAGGCCTGGGTCACTCTGATTTCAGAACCGTCTTAGGCCGTGATGTTGGAGATACTGTGGCATCAAGGTGCAAGAGGCAGCACCTCTGCGCTCAAGAGCTTAGGGTTTAGGGGCCATCTCCTCCCCGCCCCTGTCATCACCACCATATCTACAGCCTCCCTTTATAGCGCTCTGGCCTGAGACCATTTCAGGCAGCTAATTAAGAACGACAGACTGGACGGGGAGCTGGAGCAAAACGAAGAATGTTGTGACTAAGTGTCTAGGATTTCAACTTGGATTGATATGTTGACTATTGCCATGGGTCATAGGAAAGCAAAGAAAAGAAATTCTGTGTCTCTGTTGGTTTGGTCTCTGTATCTAAGCCTCATCATTGCAGAGTCAGGGAGGGTCAGAGAGAATCAAATCTCTACAACGTCTGCCATCTGCGTCTGAATATAAAATATCTGGAATAAACGGGCTTCATTGTAGCCAGGTCTAAGATGATTACAGATGGGTTTCAGGAATGTTATAAGAAATAAGAGGAAGTATAAAGTACGAGATAAGAAAACGGAAAAGTATATGGTCTTATTCCTAGGGGCTTTGCAGATGCAGCTAGGAATAGATTTCCAAGCTGAAGAGGTGAACAGCATTTCTCTTAAAGAAAGAAGGAATTCTTGGGAAATCCACTGTCGGGACCTCAGTTTGATCATATTCCATCTGTTTTGGGGCCATAAGCAAATTGGTTAATTGAGTCTCCCTTAAAAGTTGGCCCGCCCCCACTCCCATATGCACCTACACCCAGAGAACCTTCTGGAGGCTCCTGCCCCCGCCTCCCACAGTGGCCAGTCTGAGAAATAGGATTCAGAACATCTGAGCTTGGGGCCCAGCTGAGCTCTCAAGATCTGTTGGCCCGGCTTTCCTGCTGAGGTCCACCTCCCACGGTTGTCGTGAGGGTAAAATGAGGCAATGTATTCGAAAATGAACTGGAAATAGAAACGGTGTATTTTTTTTGTTAAAAAGGCAAACTGCTGAGGGAGAAGCATTGTGAAGCCTTTCTCCTTCCTGCTGCCTTTGTCTACACTCTTCAGCATTGGGTCTTGTTCCTGCCAAGGGAGTCCACTGAGGTGCAGATGTTAAGCCAGGGCAGAAAGGAGCTGCTCTCTGCACTGTCCCAGAGAGACTGGCCTCCCCACCTGGGCGAGATGGTTGTTACACAGCAGGACTGCCAGGTTCATCCCTGGCTTCATTCCTAGACAGTGTGCACAGGGCCTGACATCTGTTCCATTTCCACTTCTCAACCCCCATACAAACTGCGTGCCCATGGAAAAAATAACTAATTTTTCATTCTGATTATAAAACTAATACCTCCTCATTGTTGGAAATTTAGAAAATCAAGAAAAGAAAACAAAAATGATTTGTCACTGTATCAGTCTGATAATGAGACCTAATATGCATTGGGCCCGTTACGCACGTCGGCCACGGTTCTAAATCTTCACGTGGGGTACCTAATCCTCACAACAACCAGATGATGTAGGGACTATGATTATCTTCTTGTTATAAATGGGGAAACTGAGGCACAGGGGGTTAGGAGCTTGTCCAAGATGACACAGTTAGTTGGGGAGATGTGTGTATGTGTGTGCATACTTTTTCCTCATTAGGATTATACTCTCTGCAGTTCTGAATCTTGTCTTTTCTTCGTTTACTATTATATCATACACACTCCCCGGATACACATTCTTATCAATCATTGTTTTAACGGTTGCATAGTACTCCATAATTTATTTACCCTCCTCCCTGTTGGTGTACAGTGAAGTCTCCCCTCCCTTTTTTCCTGGATTAGAGGCAGGACTGCAATGAATCTCTTTCCACAGGAGTCTTTGTTTGCATTACTCAAATTCCCAGGGGATCAATTATTAGAAGTGAAATCAGTGTGTCAGTGGGTACGACCTTCCAACTGCTTTCCAGAAGGACCACACCAATTCACGCTTCCATCAGCACATCATAGATTAGCCAGCATCGCCCATTGTCATGTCATTATGTCTTTGAGATAAAATTCACCATTTCTACCATTTTCAGTTATTTGTAGTATATTTACAATGTTGTGCAACTGTCGCCTTTATCTAATTCCAGACCCTTTTCGTCATCCCTCGAAGAAGCCTGGTACCCATTAGCAGGCACTCCCAGCCCCAAGCAACCACTGATCTGCTTTCCATCTCTACGGATGTGTCTCTTCCGGACATTGCACATAAATGCAATCATGCAATATTTCTTTCTTTTTTAACGTTTACTGATTTGATGGATGGTATCTAGCTTTGAGTTAAACAAATGAGGTCAACATTTGTTAATCATTCATGTTTGTCCTTTGGTGAACTGTTTGTTCACGGTCTTTGCCTGTATTACTTTTAGAGTCTTAGTGTTTTTATCAGTCTGTATGAACTCTTTATATATTAAGGCCGATAAGTCCTTGACTATCATATTGGCAGCAGTTTTTCTTCTGCACTAGAATATTTTGCTAGGCTGTTAAAGTGGATGATAAAGAGCCACCTCAATGTGAAAAGAAGCCACAAAAGGCCATGGAGAGCCCAGGGAGGGTGTGGGTGGAGAGCGAGGAGGCTGTGCCTAGTGGTACAAGAGGAGAGCTGAATTTCTGTCTGTGAGCCTCCAGGGATTTCCTTCAGTGCCAGCTGGTGCAGTCACAGACTTGGCCCCTTTGGCCTCCTCCCCAAATCCCTGCTCAGGCGCCTGCTGGTTAGGGCCCTGGGGCCAGCCCTGCCTTGAGAAGCAGGAATGTCCTGGAGCTGCAACCTGGGCAGCCAGGGGTGCCTTTTCAGACTTTCGCCGGCCTTCCCTCCCTGGAGTTTAACCCAGGCTTTCTTCTCTTTACTGCCCACCCCAAGCTGCTAGCACTGTCCTCCCCTCCAGCTCTCCCCTCTGCTCCCTCGCAGGCCCTGAGGGGGTATCAGCTGGTTTATGTGCACACCGAGGCTCTGGAAATGAGCTGCTGGGCAGCCCAGAATCTGCACCCATGCATAGAAGATGGGCCCATCAGCCTAATTTTCAGGAACGACACAGTTAAGCAGAGGTTTTTCCTACAGGAGCAACAGAGGAAATTAACGGGCCCAAAGAAAACTTGGGTTAATGAGAAGAAAACATAAATGGCAATAGAGTAACAAACAGGCTCACTGTGAATACACACATGTTCTGGGGAACAGCAGATATCGGCAACAATTTGACGCTTAGTTGACTGCACTTAACTTACTATTTTGTTTAAATAAGTACACCAACCCCCGCCCCGACTCCGTCCCTCCCCCTCGCCCCCTCCCCCCGCCTACTAAGGGTTTGAGGGATAATAACATAATCGTGGCGTTTTGAAAACTTAAAGAGTAAATCTGAATTTCTCACTGTGCCAGGTGCAAACGTTGTTCGGCGGCTGTTTCCCCCAACGAAAGCAGTGACTATTAAATTAGAGTTCTTAACAAGGAGGGAGAGATTGCTCTGTGCAGCCCTCGACACGTTTGGCAAAAGTCTTGCGTGCGCGTGCGTGCAGGTGTGCGCGCGCACGCACTACGCACAAGCATGCACCTTCCTGCGGAGAAAGCCCACCCGCTCTGTGAAGTTCTCCAAGGTGTCCTTGACCCCAGAAAGGTCCACAACCAGGGCTGTAGGTCATCAGTGAGGGCAGCGTGCCCAAAGGCGGAGCCTGCTAATTGTGCCTCGGGATTCATGTCACCTTGTGCTTGCAGTGCTGGTGAAGGGCCAGGTCACCACCAAGTACTACCGGCTGCTGTCCAAGCTGGGCGGCTGGGTGTGGGTGCAGAGCTACGCCACCGTCGTGCACAACAGCCGCTCGTCCCGGCCCCACTGCATCGTGAGTGTCAATTATGTCCTCACGTAAGTCAGACGTATTTGTTCCTCTCCTTGCTCTCTCCTTCTCCCCTGTCCCTCATCAGATCGCCCGGATAAGCACCATCTCTCTCTCTCTCTTTCTGGAACTGTTCATTTGTCTCCTGTTTGGTTTTTAGTTGAACAATCTGGTCGTTTGGGAAGGTCCAGACTATTTCTGTGCTCATCTTAAGGGCTAGGTGCTAGGCTGCGGTGGGAACACGGAGGAGGGAGCCCTGCTGGGGGGCATGGGTAACTTAGGAAGGGATCAGAGAGCCCAGATGAGGGGTGTGGGTGGGCAGAGGGCCCTGGGGGGCCTGCTCCTCATCTTGAGCAGGACAGAAATAGCATGCATGGCCCCGACCAGGAATGCAAACTTGTGCTCTCCCTGCCCACAGACATTTGGGTCACCCTGCGTACTCCACTGGGGACAGGGGTTATCTCCCATTTTTTCCCTGTCTTCCTATATAGCCTGTTGCAAATGATGGTAACTATTTGGCCCCTTTAAGACCCCAGAAGGTCAAGTTCAGTCTCAAATACTTTTAAGACCAAGATAAGGAACAGGACCTAAGTCTACCTGGGACCATCTATTACTCTCTGGCCACCGTGGCTATTGTATGTTAAGCCCCCGTGCACCCAGCTCTGGCCCTGAACTTGAGATCCTTGCAGTTCCAGCAGCCCCACCCTGCAGGGTCCTCGTGTGTGTTCTAATGTGGTAGGATTTAGGCTGTCAGTTCACTGGTGGAATGACTGCCAGGTCCCTGGTTTTTGTTTGTTTTTAGAAGTGGAGTGATTTTAACAGAACTGTATGGGAGAAAGCATTTTAGCCCCTTAATGATTCTTCCTGAGCAAACAGGTGGGGGCTGGTACTTTGGGTGACTTGCCCTCCCATGAACAGGACCACGCCTAGCTGGCCTTTTAGGGCAGAAATGAGCCCCTGGGAGCCAGGCTCCTGGCCCTCAAAGGTTCCCCCACCCACGCCTCCTTGAGTCCTAAATAGAGAAGCAGCCTGGCCACAGATACTCACTGATCAATAGTGTTTCTTTCCTAGTGGTCCAGGGTATCCCCAGGAAGTGTGTTTGGGGCCTTATGGGATCGGAGAGGGCCCCCGCAGCCTCCCGCTATTCCTGCCAAATAGCATGAACCGCACTCAGCATTTCCTGGGGTCGCCGAGCCCCGGGGCTGTGGAGCGGCTTTTATGAGGGTGAGACGTCCTTCCCTCACATCCCAGCTCCATGAATGATACACCGGAGCTCTGCGAATGACCCGGCTCACGGGATGGTGTCAGGAAAGCCGGCGTCCCCCACAGCCGTTGGACGTAACTTGTCCCACTCTTGCTTCCCAGGGACATTGAATACAAGGAACTGCAGTTGTCCCTGGACCAGGTGTCCACATCGAAGTCCCAGGACTCCTGGAGGACCACCTTGTCTACCTCACAAGAAACTAGGAAATTAGCTAAACCCAAAAATACGAAGATGAAGACGAAGCTGAGAACAAACCCTTACCCCCCACAGGTAACACACGTGGCCTGCAGGGGCGGGGGCGGCTGACATCTGTCCGGGGGGTCAGGACACCCGGGCACTTTAAGGAATGACGAGCCTCTGATTGCCTAGCAGGGGTCTCCCTGCCTGGAAGGTTCCCTGTGGAGCAAGGCAAAATCCCACTGAGACGTGCCGCCCACATGACATCTGGGCACAGTGGGCAAAGCAAACTTGGGGTGGACCAGTCGGGTTTAGGGAAAAGAAGACTAATTGGAAGGCTAGAGTCCCCGTAAATGTGGATCAGAACACCAGTGCATTGTGTTTGTATAGCATTTTTTTTTTTAATGAAAACCTTCCCTTTTTTCTTTTTTAAAGTAATTTGCAACCTCTCAGAAATAGCAAGTGGCTACGTGCATCTGATGTGTTGTCAGCTCGGGGCAGAGAGTTCTCATTCCATCCAGGGGGCGGGTCACTGGGGTGCTGTTTGCCATGCACCTGTCCCCAGTGGGACCTCGGCGTGGTGGCCAGGGTGGGTCCAGCCCTGGGATGGGGTTGGGCACTCTAGGATTGGTTCTTGTGAGGCTGGAGGGCAGTTTACCACCGGCCCCTTCATCCGTCTTCTCCGCCATGCAGCAATACAGCTCATTCCAAATGGACAAACTGGAATGCGGCCAGCTCGGAAACTGGAGAGCCAGCCCCCCGGCGAGCGCTCCGGCTCCCCCAGAACAGCAGCTCCATTCAGAAGGCAGCGACCTTCTGTACGCTCCATCCTACAGCCTGCCCTTCTCCTACCATTATGGACACTTCCCTCTAGACTCTCACGTCTTCAGCAGCAAAAAGCCGATGCTGCCGGCCAAATTCGGGCAGCCCCAAGGATCCCCGTGTGAGGTGGCACGCTTTTTCCTGAGCACGCTACCGCCCAGCGGCGAATGCCAATGGCATTATGCCAACCCCCTAGTGCCTAGCAGCCCGTCTCCAGCTAAAAGTCTTTCTGAGCCGCCGGGGAACACTGCTCGGCACAGCCTCGTGCCAAACTACGAAGGTGGGTCATGTTTGCACGGGGGGAGGGGACAGGACTGTGAACAGCGGCCGTGGCGGCGGTGGGTGGCAGATGGAAAAAGGATCCTTACACTTTGGGCAGACTTTTCCTTCTTCTGCTTCTAAGTAGGAATTGCTACACTTTCCTGCTCTCAGTGCGAGTGCTGATTAAAGCTAGCTGACCGAGTCCGTGCGCCTTGTGGGCACTAGTGACCGTGTAAAGGGCAGAGGAAACCGTGTTCACCACCCTCCATAAAAATCCTGGCCTGCTTGCTCCCCAAAAGGGAGACAAAGTGGTTTTCAGAACCAGCTCCCGTGAACCGAGAATGCCCCAGTTGCATTTATTTTACAAGATTACTTTCCACCCCACACAAAATGAATATGAATGTATTCTCATATTCATATACTATATTTTCTTCCCATGCCAGTTTTCAGAGTGGGGAAAACAGTGGTGGAAATTCATGGACTCAGGGACAGAAGTGCCACTCACCAACCCAGGGCAAATAACATAAACCGGCCCCAGGACTCAGTTTCTTCATCTGTAAAAGGTCGTCATAAGCGGGGGGATATGCCTATCCCAGGGCTTGGCACATAGTAGGTGCCTGCCCAGCACATGCTAGTTCAACAACAGAGAGACAGGAATGGCTTTCCAGCCAGCTCCTCCTGGTGGCGGGCAAGCAAAGGTCCTCTGTGGAGGTGCCACCAGCTGCCCCAGGCCCAGACAGACTTCTGTTTGCTCACTGGGCCAACCGCAGGCAGAGGGTAGAAGGTGGGGGTTGAGGGTTAGCTGTGAGAGGTGTACTCCTGTTTCACCCAGACCTAACTCCTGCTCGGAGTGTAGACCAAGATGGTGCAGATGTCCTGTGGGGCCACTAAGTGCCAGGTAAATGTTCCATGCCCCAGAAGGGAATCACCCGCTTGAAGAGGTGGGCTGCCTGGAGCCCCCGCTCCCACCTCTAGCTTTCTGTCTCTCTTTGGAGGGAGTAGGGCTCTGTGCCTCCTCACGCTGCTTTGGGACTCTCTCGCTGTGTGCTGTGCCCCAGGCTTCACGAAGCTGTGAGATACATTTCGTCTCCGAATACGAGCAGAGGACTAGAGCACGGGAGCGATCTAACCCTCTTGGAGATCCAGGCCGTGTTTCTCAGAAGCAGCTAACTTAAGAAAAGAACAGACCTGAGGCCGGGGCACTGCAGCCCTGCCCTTTGGCCTGGACATGGCCCAGCAGCCACTGGTTCCTCAGATTAGGATCCCCAATACCAGTCAGGGCAGTGGGTCCCTCAAATAACCCAGGAAGGGATCTCCCCCAACAGCCAAGGCAAGAAAGACAAAGCCAAGGGTTTTGAGAAAGCTGAAAATATCATCCACTTGAGATTGACTTCAAGGACTTATTTTTCTGTGTGTGTGGAAGTCGGCCAATGATAGAACACACCATATTTGATTTTTTTAAATTATTATTTTGAAAGTGAAAGAGGTTAATAACCACCTCATTTGTCACACACTTGGTAAAAAAGGGACTAAAGGTGCTAATTTGGGGCAATTTGTGATCAACTTCTTAGTCTTTCTGGTATTAAAGGTCTTAAGGTAAAAAACATAAGGAGCTAATCGATTGCAGCCATCTCATTAGGGAGGGTGGTTATTGCTTTAATTATGACAATACTAAAGGGCAGAGTGATTATACTCCACCCTCCCCACTGAGGGATAAGCAAAAAAGGTCAGGGCAGACTGGGACCACGTAAACACAAGGCCCGTGGAAGCCTCTAGACCAATATGGTAGCCACTAGCCAGGTGTGGCTATTGAGCGTTGAAATGTGGCTAGTGCAATGAGATGTCCTCTAAGTGCCTGCACTGCATTTCAAAGACAGAAACAATAAAATACCTCAATTTTAAAACACTGATTAGACACTGAAATAATATTTTGGATATGGTGCATTAAATTAAGTGTACTGTTAACCTCACTTCCACCTGCTCCTCCTCGCTCTTTAATGCGGCTACTAGACCATTCCAAACTGCATCTTGCCACCGGACAGCGCGGGCCTGGGACGCACGAGGGGACGGGGCGATGGCGGCTCCGTGGGTGGAGCGCGTGGGCGGCGCGGGTGGCGGGGCACCGAGGGGTGGTGATGGTGGCGGCGCCCGGGCCCCCCGCGTTGGTGTGGCATTGGGCGTGTCTCCTTCCTTCCCCGCGCGCGGGCGTCTAACGTGTCGCCTGTCCCCGCAGCGCCCGCCGCCGCCGCCGCGCGCAGGTTCGGCGAGGACACCGCGCCGCCACCGCCGCCGCCACCGCCGCCGCCGCCGAGCTTCCCGAGCTGCGGCCACTACCGCGAGGAGCCCGCGCTGGGCCCGGCCAAGGCCGCCCGGCCGGCCGCCCGGGACGGGGCGCGACTGGCGTTGGCCCGCGCGGCGCCCGAGTGCTGCGCGCCGCCGGCCCCCGAGCCCCCGGGCGCGCCGGCGCAGCTGCCCTTCGTGCTGCTCAACTACCACCGCGTGCTGGCCCGGCGCGCGCCGCTCGGGGGCGCTGCTCCCGGCGCGCCCGCCCTCGCCGGCGGCCCCCGCGGCCCCGAGGCGGCGGCCGGCGCGCTGCGGCCCCGGCCCCCCGGCCCCGCCGCCCCGCCCGGCGCGCCCCTGCCGCACTACCTGGGCGCCTCGGTCATCATCACCAACGGCAGGTGACGCCGGCGCCGGCCGCGGGGGCCCGGGGCGTCCCGCCGCGCGCGGGGCTGCCCGCAGGGGGAAGCCACAGGCCAGGCCTCTGGGGCTCCTGTTTCCCCAAGTCCAGCCGACTGCAGAGGGGCGCGCTGTATATGCACGGTTTAAATTAATTTATACAGAGACAACTATTTTAATAGGACTCCGAAGCCGCCTTTTAGATTTGTACCGTAGCGCCCATGAACGCCGCTGGAGAGGGCTGGCACGGCGACGCTGGGAGACGCGACCGCCAGACCTTTGTGCTCCGAGGGCCAGGGTTCTGAACGGGCAGAGCTGGGCGTCCCCCGCTTCCCACGTGTGACCTCAAGCTGCCCCGTCTCTGGGGGGACTTGGTTTCCTCATTTTGAAATCAGACTCGCGCCTCTTGCCTTGTCCCCGATGCTGTCACGGTCCCACTGGGGGACCGAAGGGGTTTCCACTCCACGAGTATCCTCCGCTTTAAGGAGGAAACCCCACCCGGATAAAGTCAGACATGCCAGGCGGGCGGCAGACCTGGATGGAGCGCCCTTTTAGATTCTGAAGTCAAGGCAGATCCTGATGAGTTAAGTCCAGCGAATACAACTCCCGCTGTCTTTAAAAGACGTTCATGAGTCTCATTAAAAGTTGTTTTAATTTAACCCTTTCTTCAATACAAAAAACAAGCTGAAGACCAAGGGGAACATGGTTGTGTTTCACAAGTACACGTACAAGCGCATACTTCCTCCTAGCCTATGAACTCTTGATAACACCAAGAACAGCACCTTCGGAATGTATTGAATAGGCATTAAATGCAAAAAATATATAGAGAGCGCCAGATATTTTATGAAAATGACATGTGGATGAGTTAGGTGCCCAAGGCGATTGGCTACCCGGGTCAAGTGATTACAAAATTCCCCTGGCCCACACAGACCCCTAATTCCCTAGGCTCGTGTTTGCTACAAGTAGTGCTAATAAAGTTAGTTAAATTGCATGTGCAATATGGAAAATTGTCAATGGACTGCGCCTCGTGAGGAAAACCTGCTAAAGGGATGTAATGAAAATGATGTGTACATTTTCTTCAGCATTTTCTGCATTTTATACATAGCAAGAAAACTCCATATGAATGTGTCATGTGTAACAGATAAACAAATCCTTTTATAAAGCGCCAGCAGTGTTTTAAAAATAAACTTCCATTGATTTTTGTTTGATTTTTATATTTTTGCCTCAAGATTTCACTATTTCAAAATCCTCTCATGGCTCTGAAACTCTGAAGCGGATCAGTGCATCAAACTGCCATCTTTCAATTTGCTCCACACTATAAACACACCATCATTTTGCCGCTTTTTCAAAAATGGTTTACTTTTAGGAACTCCACCTTTCTGAGCAGAAAGGCTTTTCAGAAATGTCTTTAATTCATCGTTCTAGACTCAAAGTGCACTTACATCGACTGTTCTCAAAATGTGAAATGATTTGTTGCCCACCCAGTGTCATATGAGGACCTGCCCCACTCCCTCACATGGTGTCGGTTCCCTTATGGTACAATTTGCAAATTAAGGAACATGCGTTGTGCAGTGAAAGGGCTGGGTCATAAGCGTCGGATGTATACACTCTATCCTGCACTTACCTGTACCTCATTAGGAGCTCTTTGAGTGTGTGCATACACAAAATAAGCCTGGGGTATTATTTTTTATGCTCACGAGTCTCGTAGTTAAACCATGATTCCTGGAAAGTGCAAGTTTGAGGAGCAGGCGATATCACCTGACATTTTTGAATAAAGAACTGCAGTATGCTTTTCTGTCTACCTTGTTATTAACCATTGGGGGCTATATTTAGTAAATACAAATCTTGAAGCCTTTCGGAGCAGTTTAAGATCAAAGGTTACTCTGAATAAAACCGTTATGTATCTATTTTTTTTGGTGAGGAAGATTGTCCCTGAGCTAGCATCTGTGCCAGTCTTCCTCTATTTTGTATGTGGGATGCTGCCACAGCATGGCTTGATGAGTGGTGTGTAGGTCCTTGCCTGAGATCCAAACCTGTGGATCCTGGGCTGCCAAAGCAGAGTAGTGGAGTGCACGAACTTAACCACTGTGCTACCTGGCTGGCCCCAGATGGTTTATAAATTTACAAATGATAGCGTAAATAAGCTTAACATGAGTGTGTATGTACTTGAAAAATAAAACATGTACTAGAGAAAACTCCCTTGTCTAAACACACATCACGGTTTTCATAGCCTAGAACAGGAAGGCAGATTCCTACACGAGCCGGCTTCCAGGCGGCCAGCAGCTCAATGCAAAGTTAACAGCAGTTTCTATGGCAACCTAATATTGTTACCTCCCTCTTTAAGAGTCTGCACATTTAAGCTGGGGATATCGTTTCTTGACTTCTGTGAGGCTCTGGCAGGGGAAGAGGAAGCATTTTAATAAATATGCCTCCCTTTCACAAAAAAAGAAGAAAAAGAAAACTCTCAGTGAGTCCTAACATGTTGACAAAAACGCCAGATCAAATGGATTTGAGAAATAATCCCAGTTCAAGACTGGCTCGGCCCTCCATGGCCTCCCAGGGAAAGGAATTCCTTTATGTTCATGGAAGCCCTTTCTAGAAAGGCGATTCCATTCATACCTTTGTAGAGAAGTGAACAGGGTGTGAAGGGCTGCTCACCCCCCACCTCCTTGTCCTTTTAAAGTCCGATGGGCCACGCCTTCCTCCCTCGGACCCTAACCCTAAGGGTGGGAGAGCTTTATCCCGTCAATGACTCCTGTATAAAGTCCACCCAAAGTTGTAATTTGTTCTAACTGTAAGACAGTTAAGGTAGACTGTGGGGGCTGCTATGGATAAAATGGAATAAAAACATCTTCAAACAGACACCAGAAAATTACAGTAGCTTAAACTTTTAGTGAATTGTAGCGCTTGCGTTATCTAAAATGCATTATTCAAGCAGTTCCTAAACTTAAGTATGAGATCTCAGGTTAAAATCTTGGGGAGAAAACTGTTGAGACGAAAGTCAAGCAGTGTTCACAAAAGAATAAGAAAAGTTTTACAAGAACAAAATCTGTTCCTATGTTAAACTTGTTATTACGTTAAATTTATTTTCAAGTCTAAAAACACATTAAATTGTGATTTAATTTTTTTCTCACTTCAGTTTAAAAGGCTTATACTTTTGGGTTTTGCTGACTTTCATTCTTTGGAGCAATAAGATTCCTCTTTTGTATGATGCATAATACATTTGTCAAAAATACATCAAAAAAGAAAGGAAAAAAGCACCCGGTTTCTTAATACTTAGAAATACATACATATTCCTTACTATGTAAAACTATTTATTTTGTAAAAATGTTTAAATATGAATAAAAATACTGTAACCAAAAGTACTTGCTTATTTTTAAAAATGAAATTTGTGGTAAAAATAAGAACAAGCCCAAACTATATAGAAAGTCAAAGTTTATTTTGGTAGACTTGCTTTTTATAGGCATTGGTTTAAAGTAATTCCTTTTCAGAGATGAATCTTTGAAAAGCTAAAAATGCAAAGGTTTACACTTTCTTTTATTTCAAATATGCATAGTAATTACCCAGGAATAAGGATGCTCAGTTTTCTGCCGGTTCAAAGCAAACAAATCTAGAGAATAAGCCTCAAATGCCTCCTTTTTGCATTCTGAAAGTGTTGGGTGAGGCTGGCTTCTCTCTCGCTCCCAGACTAGGGTGGGGGGTGACTAAGTAGGCCTCCCCGTGTCCCCGTGTGTATGTGGGGGGTGGGGAGTTGGAGGCTACGGGCTTCCCCCACCTGGGCCTGTGCACCCCCCGCTCATCTGGCCACTCGCTCCCACAGCAGGCAAAGTCAGCATGCTGCATCAGCGAACCCACCGACTGACACCGAACACAAATCCTACTTTGCCCACACCCTGAGAACGCAGCCAGGATTCCCAGTGCCAAGGAGCACTGCTCTGGTCGGGAGACAAGGAAGCCCAGCTGCTGCTGTCCTGTTTTAGGGGCCTTTCTCCAAGAGTTCCTCTGAAATCTGCTATAAGCCAGAAGGGAGGATGTCTTGCCTTTTACATAACCTGGGAGATGCTCAATGCACAGCCTCTAAACTGGGGGATAATTCAGCGTCCTAGAAGCACATGCCAGTCCTGTGCTTAGGTTAGTTTCGTTGCTGTGTTTTAAAGATTAAGAAGAAAATGCAAGATTTTCTGTTAAGACTTTAAAGTTCCTTGAGATCGTAGATTGCCGGGTACAGAAACGCCCCAAATGGATGAGTGTATCGGTTTCCCTAATGCTAACAGCTGTAAGTAAAATGCCTTTATTCAGCTGCTCTATATGAAGCAGAATTTCAAAAGTCTTTGGTAAAATCAGTTTTATGAAAAATGCGGCATCTGCTTCAAGTCCGTTCTATCTCCCTTAAGACAAGTGGATGTCGGCACAAGAATGGTCTTAAAAGCACAGAGGCAAAGCAATCTGCCCCGAACATCTCCATCTGCTTTGACGTGGCCACACGTCATTAGTTTTAATTTACAGAAAGGAAATTAAATGATAACATTTTTTTCCCCAAAGCAGAACTGTCTAGAATAGAACTTCAGCTTAAAACAAAACATGTTTTTCATTAAATAACCCCCCAAAGAAATTCAAAAAGTCTTGATGGCAGCTCTGAGAGATGACTTGCCTTATATTACAAAGTTTGAGAAATGAAACTTGCAACATTAGCCTGGAGATCTTTCTTCTCGATGATATTTTGCAGATGCCCTCTCAAGGGTGAGTCCATTTTGTAATTTTGGGGTGGTATGGACTTTTATTTAAACTTGTCACTAATTCCACAGGAAGATTTGGGCATTTAGGAGAGTGATTTTTTTTTTTCCTTTTTTAGAAAAATAATTCTAATTGAAGCCTTATTTGCAAAAATTACTTTTGAACTTCTTTTAAAGTTACACTTCCAAAAAACACATATTGGGTTGGTGTACTTAACTAAACATGTTATTTTTTTCCTTCCTATGGGGCTGCCTGTGCCTGGCTAAAGGTAGACAGATTTTATACTGAAAACCACAAGTTTCTGGAATTAGCCTGACTGGGTAAGAACTGGATAAAGATGGTGCTGGTGTACAATGAGGGGATTTTGTTTAAAGCTGAGAGTTCCATCAAGTTTTCTTTCCACTAATTTCAGTTGGGACTGGCAGGAAGAGAGAAAAGTGGACAAAAATGGGCCTTTTAAGGCTGAAAAGTAATGTGTATGATTCAGAAGTTCAACACAGATAGGAGTTACATGGAAAAAGCGTGGAGTCCATCTGGAAATAGCAAGTGCGTATCAAAAGGCTTCCTTTCTTTTGTTCTTCCGTGGAAAACTTAGGGCATCAGAGTCTGAACATCTTTTAAAGCTTCACATACACACACACACACACACATCCTCCCTCCTAAATGATGGCATTCAGTATCAGTAACATTTTCTCTCTCGGCAATACAGGAAAAAGGGGCAAAAAAATTAAGACTTACGAATAAAATGCCACATACTTCTACATTCTGTGTACTGCACAGTCTGGCAGGAACGCTCCCCATTTCAAAGCAAGCCTGAAACTGGCTTAAAAGCTCTAAATCCTCCCTTGCATGCGGTATGAGAGCGAGACTTCATCTCCAGCTGTTAGAGCCAAACCACCCACCCCCACATCCAGGCAATGCCTAATCAACACTTTAAGGATCTTGAACTTGATCTCATCACTTCAGAGTAGGCAGTAAATTTAAACTTATGAAAGGAGAGCTCGTAAATTAACGTCAAAGTAATGAACTGATTTCCTGGACAAGATCATTGCAACCGTACCAGCTAGACGCATCTCTGTAGGCATTCAGACGCTGTTATTGGACCCCAAACCACGAGGCCGAGAGGAACTCTTCGGAACTCTACCTTCTCTTTTCTTCGTTAACAAAAAAATAAATAAAATGACTAAGTGATGATGTATGTTCCTGTAGGAAAACACCTCCCTGGATGCTTATAAACAGTGTTACCATACCTCTAATTCACCACTAGCCTAGGCTGGAGAGCTTTTTTTGATTTATCTTTTAATAGTCTAGGGATAAAGGTCTTCACTACTGGGAAAACATTTGCATTATTCCATTCTGTTTCCATGTATAAACCTTTTTTTTTTTTTTTTTTTCCGGCCAAGAAACACACATCAAAGCTCAAGGGAGAGAACAATTTCACACCTATGGTGGGGCTTTACCTGAACTAAATCTTCCACTTGTCAACCCTCTACTCCAGAACATCTTCAAATAAAATGATAGCAGACAGAACAAAATTAAAGAATTAAACAGATTAATTGGAGGGAGAAAAAATTTGCCTGCAACTCTAAATTAGTTTTCCAAATCCACGGGCTGCAGAAATTCAACTGGAATGCTTCTCTGGGGGTTCTGCACTTCCGTCACCCCCGGCTCATCTCAGCTGCTGCCCTCTCTGCCCTCTCTCCCGCAGCCCAGCCCAAGCAGCAGGCCCAGTGAGCAAGGACGGCAGGCCCGGGGCTGTCTCTGTCTCTCTGTCTTCCTGGAGACGGGGACTACCGCTGTTTAGGGATGATGAGGTTTCTCAGCATGTCAAAGGAGTTGCCATCCGGATGCACGGTCACCACCTCGCCACCCTCCTGGTGAACCAGAAGGAACCCAGAATCATCTAGGCCGACTATCGACACCGTTGGCCCCTCGGAGCTTCCGAGCCGGACTTGCTGAGCACTGAAAATAAAGAAGAGCATAGTCACTGGGAAATGGAATGCAGTGGCCCGAGATGATTAGTTAAGCAATTACCCATTATGCAAAGGGATTTGGGGATGGTGAGGGAGGGGGCTCGGCTAGATATGGGTAAACTGCTCTGACTGGCACTGCTCCCACATGAATGGCTCTGGTAACTACTAGAATAACTGGGATGATGCAAAGTCCAACAGGGAGTCAGGAATTTCTTCTCTTATAAATGACGTCACTCCTCCTAATTGTGCTCCTCTGGGATGGCGACTTGACCACTTCCTCATCTTCTAGCACTTCTAAGAAACCTGTACAACTCTCTAGGTTTTTCAGCTGAGACTGGGGGAAAAAGAAGCTGAGTTGAAAAGATAAGCTTTATTTTATAAAACAAACTTGGGTGGTATCAACTATAAGTTAAACTCATTCTAAGACTACTTCTTTTGAATATTTTCCAACTGTGCTTGTTGAGTTAGATCCTTGTCAACAATTTTTAAAGTACAGAACTCCCCCTCCCCAAATATTTACTTTGAAGAATTTCAAACCTACAGAAAAATTGGAAAAAATAGTACAACGAACCTTAGATTCCCTTCACTTATATTCACACCAACTGATAGCATTTTCCATGTTTGCTTTCTCTCTTCACACACACACACACACACACACACACACACACACTTCCATGCTTTTTTTGCTGACATTTAAAAATAAGTTGCAGGCATCAGGACACTTCGTAGTTAAATATTTCAGTATGTATCTCTTAAGAATAAAAACAATCTCCTACAAAACCAGAATACCATTAGCACCCTCAAGAAATCTAATCTCGATACAATACCTTATCTAATACACAGTCCATGTTCAAATTCCCCCACTGCCCCATAAAGAGCCTTTGTGGCTGCTCCCTCCCATCCAAGAGCTAATTATGAATCACACACTGCATTTAACTGTCACGCCTCTTACGTCTTCTTTAAGGTCAAACAAGAGAGTAAAGATTCTCCCACCTTCTTTTTATTTTTGGTTTTTTGAGACATTTTGAACGGTGGAGGCCTCTTCTGTACATCACTGCTTCTCAAACTTTCCATGCCGGAGAATACCCAGGAGCATTTGTTAAAACATAGACGCTGGGCCCCAGCCTCAGAGTTTTTGGGTTAGGAGGTCCAGGGTGGGCCTCAAGAATCTGCTTTTCTGGGGCCAGCCCCGTGGCCGAGTGGTTAAGTTGTGTGCTCCGCTTTGGCAGCCCAGGGTTTCACCGGTTCACATCCTGAGCGTGGACGTGGCACCACTCATCAGGCCATGCTGGGGCGGCATCCCACATGCCACAACTAGAAGGACCCGTAACTAAAATATACAACTATGTACTGGGGGGATTTGGGGAGAAAAAGCAGAAAAAAAGACAAGGAAGATTGGCAACAGTTGTTAGTTCAGATGCCAATCTTTAAAAAAAAAAAGAATCTGCTTTTCTAACAAGTTCCTAAGTGAGGCTGCTGCTGCCACCTGGGGATCTCACTCTGAAAACCACTATTATCTAGAATGTTCTATGATTTACATTGTCTATTTCCTTACATTAGATTCAGCTTAAACACGCTGGGCAGGAAACTCTCTAGGGATGTTGGGTCCTCCCCACTGCATCCCACCAGGAGGCACGGCGTGCCAGTCCCTCCTGTTACTGGTGATGCTAACTCGCTCAAGGTGCGGTCCACCAGGTTTCTCCATCAGAAAGGTAAATAGCCATGCTCTAGACCAGTGCTTAGTTTCTCGGTTTAAGATACTGAACTATTTACTTAATAAGGAATTTTAAAAGAATGAAGATGAGCCAACACTGACCTGTGTACCCAATATTTATAATAAAGGGGAAGAACGCCATTGGGCCCTTTGTCCTGAAACGTGTCGATGAGTTTCTCCAGCACGGTCACAGTCCTGGCGATGAGGAAATCAGTTCTTAAGGGCTTCAGGTCTGTCCCGTGTTGCCTGTTGTATTCTAGGATGAGATCGTTGATGCATATGGTAGGGTTACTGTTAGTCACGTTAAATCCACAGCCTGGACAAAAACAAATAATTGAAAAACATGAGCAGCTCCACCTATTGATGGCATCACAGCTTGCTCTCAACCACCCGGAAAAAGTTACAGCGTTTACTGACAACTTCCTGCGTCACTTCAAATTGACTGTCTCTGGCCACTTAAAGAATAATATATCTTTGAGACATCTTCCTTTTCATGTTTCTTTATTATCCTTGTTCAAACTACGACCGTGCCAACCTTACTGCCAATAAGTTGGAAAAAAGCAAGCCACGTTGGATTCAATTAAACAGAAGCTATGAACGGGACAAAATCTCTTAGAGTCGCTTCTGAAGCAATGCCACCTCGTGTGGTCTAGCTAGGAATTGTAACTCCACACTGAGCCCAATATAAAATAAAATCTCTTCTTTCTTTTCCTACTGGAATAATAGAACACACGCTTGAAAATAAAGAATGTTACTCAGGTCTTAAGGATAAACTCTGGATTCAGAGATTTCAAACCTTGGTCAAGGCATAACCCAAGAACACATCTTTTAATACTTTATCCTTGGAAGTCTTCGGTGCTAGGGTTACGCTGTTGGCGAGGGGCCAACCCATGTTCAGTGGCTCTTTTACAGGCTCCCAAACCGAGGCTTCGGGAGAGTGAGTTACCAGCAGTGGGGCCTGAATAGGCTTATCTCTGCTGTTACTTAATATCACCATCCCCTCCGGGAGAGGTTAGCGTCTTCCGAGAAGCCGACCCTCAGTCTTCAGCAGGGCCATGAATCAACCAGAAAGAAGTCTTCAATAAGAAATGAAATACTGCAGGAACTAGGCAGTAAGACGACTGTGTTTTCAGTGCCTCTGAGAAAAAAAATGCCCCAGATACTCGCCTCAGATAGAACGATGACAGTCACAGTAACGGTATTCTTTGGTAAATGTTCTGAGCCATTTTCAGGGTGAAGGGAAGGACTGATTGGCCTCAGATTCCCCCCGACCCCCACCCCCAATATGCTGGCTATTAAAATACAAAGCAATGTAAATTACATCTGAAACAAAAAACAAGTAACTATAGCAACAGGGACAGAAACTCCAGTTGTTCATCTGTTCATTCCTCCAACAGCATACACAATAGCTGAGGCACCTATGGAGCGTAAGGTATTAAATTAAGGGTGTATGGCACTGAACAATCTCCCCTGGATTCAGAGAACTCAAAGTCCTGGGGAAAATAGCAACATTGACTACTGTCAACTTAGGCTGTGTCTTTCAAAGGCCCACAGAGCACCCGTGTTGGTGACTTTGAATCTTTCCCCAAAGATGCCCCCCGCCACCCTCCCACCACCTCCCATGGCCTTAAAAATTTAATAAAAGCTCTAGATTCTCCCCAAGGAAAATGTTTACTTCCCCTGCCCTGACAGAACTCCTTAGCTCCCCTGAAGCCATCCTGAGGCCTCCTGATGTCTGTGGGCTCTACTCAGGAATCTCTGCATTTGGCACAATTACTCATTTAAAGATGGGGAATGGAGCTCTGAGGATATGAAGCAGCTTGCCCAGAATAATATTGCCAGTGGGTTGCAGAGCTGGGAACACAAGCCTTGTGTTCTTTGGCTGGCACTTCCAACACACGGTCACATGTTTTCTGTCTATTACTGATTTTTGAACACCAATCAAGTCCTCCTGGGCATTAGGGAAAAGCTGACGCTTGGATGCCCAGGGGCCTAAGAACTTTTGAAACTGCTTTGAATCCATCTCCTCGCCTGATACGGACATGCTGCAGTGAAACGGCCATTCTCTACCCGACCTTGACCAGCCTGGTGCTTCTTTTGAAGGTCAAAAAGAAGGCAACTTTTTCACGGCCTGGGAAGGTCAAATGAAGAGTGCAAGACCACCAGGAGATCCATCCTTGAAATCAACTTTCTTTTCTTATTATAAATTGGTACATTAAATGTCTATCTTCACCACTCCTAATTCAAGGAGAAGCACAGTGGGGAGAGGTGTAAGAAAATGCCTGATTGATGTGAAACCAATTTGGTGGTTTCCATGGCCGCAGATAGGAACGCTAAACCCCTCAAAGGGCTTTCAACCAGTCTGGCCTGTTTCACATACATATTCTGTTCTCTAACTCAAGACTCATGGCAAAAGTAATCCCAGATGATAATCCACTTCCCCCAGTGTAGCCATGTATAAACCATTTTTATTTATTTTTTTGGTGAGGAAGATTGTCCCTCTGTGTCAACATCTGTGTCAGTCTTCCTCTATTTTGTAGATGAGACACTGCCATAGCATGGCTTGATGAGTGGTGCGTAGGTCCATGCAAACCCCAGGCCACTGAAGCAGAGTGTGCGAACTTCACCACCACACCACCAGGCCAGTCCCCCATTTTAATTTTTATTAATCTAAAAATGCTGAAGAAAGGGCTTTAAAAACTTACCAATAAGTATATAAAACGTTTCTCCCATAAGCGTTGAGTTAACCAGAACTCCACCAAGTTTCATGAGGTCACTGTAATAAATATCATTGGGCCACTTCACTCGTAAGTCGATATCCTAAAGGAAAATCTGCATATTAATCAAGCAATCACAGGACACAAAGGGACCAGGTGAGGTCATCCAGCTAAAAGGAAGATGTGCAGAATACTCTTGAAACTAACAGAACCCCAGGGCTCACCCTCTTCTTTTTCAGACAGCTGATCACTCCTTCAGGACAAGGCACTGTTAAAGCACCTCTTGGAGCTATAAGGAGAGACCTAAAGAACACATTCGGCTGAAATCCCAGCATTTTCCCCACCTCCATCATCATCAAAAACACTTTCTGATGATGCCTATCTTGTGAATTGGGTCCATCATCTCAGTATCAAAAACCATCACCATGGAGTCCCCATCCTGTGCTGGGGCGGGGGACAGGGACAGACTGATACTCTCAGGGTTCTTTTCCCTTAAACAGCTTGAGAGAGAAAGATGGCCCTGAATTAAGCAATGACATAAGAGGCACGTAGAAACATCTGGAGTACAATCTACAGAGATACAGGGGAGGAACTGGTTTTATTGAGTGATCAGAGAAGGCCTCAGAGAACTGCCAGCTGTCAGCCTGGGCAACAGAAATGGACTTGTCCTGTGGCCCGCTCTGTCTCCATCCTGAAGGGTGTGCCCCAGTCACAGTGGAATGATCCAAGGGTGGACAGTGCCTTGCGCTGGGCCACTCAGACCCCCACCTCCCGCCGTGACTCTGAAGTTGGGATACACAGACTGGGTGAGACCCTGTAGGCACCAGAACTGCCAGGCCTCCTGGGCGTGGAGCTGGCAGCCAGGTTGTGCCACGTGTGGGTAGACAAAGCCCATCTGGACACATAAGGCTAGAAGGAGACACTCAGCAAAATAAAACCGAGACCAGAGAGAAGCTGACGGCTGGAGTCCCAGGGGCTGGCACGGCACCAAGCCCCATCTCAGCACTGGTCTGTGTGTTACTTATACCAAACCCATGTGTTGGTGCTAGTGTCATCCCCATGTAACAGAGGAAGAAAATGCAGTTTAAAGGGATTGCCTGGCTTGCCTGAGGTTACAACTCGGAAGTGGCAGGGCTGGGATTCAAACCCAGGGCTTGCTGACACCAATCCTCCGGGTGCTTAATACCATGCCGTGTAGACTGCAGCTCCCAAGAAACCCCCTCTCTCCTGCCAACAGGCCTTCTTTCCACCTTGCTCAGCTAGAATACATTTCTGGTCCTCAGATGCTCACCTGCCCTGGCAGAGCATTCTCTAGGCTGAGAGAAGAAATGCAGGAGCACAGAAGAACAAAGGTTCAAATAAAATGTGGGGCTTTCACCGTGACCCTCAACTGAGCGGGAGCTTCATATTTCTTCTGTCTAGAATAGGGTTCTCAGTGCACGGGTGGCATTTTGCGCCCCCTCCCCACCCCCCCCAGGGATATTTTGGCAATACTGGGAGACATTTCTGGTTGTGGTAGCTTGAGGAGTCCCACTGGCATCTAGTGAGGAGAGGCCAGAGATGCTGCTCCACATCCTCTGATGCACAGGATGGCCCTCCAACCAAGATGTGTGGGCCCAAACGTCAATAGTGCCAAGGGTGAGGAACGCTGGTCCCGAAAATCCATAACTTGGAGCCTTTGGTCTTGGTCACTCCCCCAATTCCCTTCCTTTCTCCTCTTCCACTTTCCTGTGTCCTACTGCGCCCAGCAGCATCCTTGCCATAGCTCAGCAGCAGCTCCTTCACCGCGGGGGCTTCTGCTGGCCCTGCTCTCCTGTTTCACTTCGCATTTTCAGATCTGCTTAGTTCATGTTTCAGCTTATGCCATTTTGGGTTCTCAAGCAAGTAAACAAAGCCATCTATTCCAAGATGAAGAGAAAGGCCGCGTGCTTACTTTTCACTGTCTCCATCATTTATTCAAACAGCTGCCGCGGGCCTCCTGTGCAGAAAGCACCATGCCAGGCTCTTTGGGGACCAAAATAAAACTGACCGTGCATTCAAACAGCTGGTTCCTTTGTAGGAGATAAAACAGGAGCACCAAGAACTCTGCTTGAGAGCAATCCATGGGAGACACCATCAAAGGGGCTTAGACATTTAAAGTGCCGTGAAGTGTTATAGGAGGGAGGGTTTGTGGCTAGAAGGCTCTGGGAACAGCAATTGAGCTGGGCCTCCCAGGGCGAAGAGCACTTCAAGGTGCAGAGAAGGGAGCAGGAGCAGGAATGTGTGGGTGGGAAGAGGCCTACAGGCAGCCGGCAGGACCCTGCAGACAGAGGAAACAGCAGGAGGAAGAGTGGGCAGACCAACGAGGGTTCTGGAAGGAATGGCGAATATTCCAGTGATGCTGCCTCTGGTCCGGGAGACTGGGCATGGTTTGTCTGCTGAGAGTGACATCTGGCCAGGGAAAGTTGGGGCCTGAGCGAAGGACCTTAGAATGGCAAACTCGATGCAGCTGGGTCCTATTTCAATCATCCTGTACTATACCGTGGAGGCTAACTGGACAGTGTTAAAAATAAATACGGACAGAGCTGATCCTAAAAGTTCTCATCACAAGGAAAAAAAATTTTTTTTTTGGTAACCATATGAGGTGATGGATGTTAACTAAACTTATTGTGGTCATCAATTCATAATATGTGTAAGTCAAGTCACTACGTTGTCACCTTAAACCTACACAGTGCTGTATGTCAACTGTATCTTAGCAAAACTGAAAATAAAATAAGAATAAAACCAAAGTCACATCATACAGGTGAGGCTGAGCCGGACGACTGTGGACAAAGGAAAAGAACTTTGGTGGGAGCCTTTTAAGGACAACGGGGGACCCAGGGCCCCCAGGTGCACTGTTGAGGGCAAGCTTCCCAGCCCCCATCCTGCTGCCCCCAGCACCTGGCACAGCTTTCGCACACAGCAGGCACTCAAAGAATGCTCACTAAGGGAACCAGTGAGGCTACAAGGTCAAAATCAAAGCCATGAAAAAGCTAAGCAGACTAATTTTAAATTTAAATTTATTTTCCTAAGACGAATTAACCTGTTGCTAGGGTTAAAAATCTTTTCCCTCATGACAGAACTTTTATCTTCTCAAGTGCTTTATACCAGGCCAAATGCCCAGCTAGAGGGCTGCAGGCTGGGCCTGTGAAGGTCTGTGAAAGTGTAGGAGCCTGAGCCCGTCAGACACAGCCAGGATGCCAAGCACCTGCTGATAAATGTCCTGTTTCAGTGTGCAGGCCAGTGACTTGACGTCATATGGAAACACGTCCTGCAGTCCTACACACAGGGGCTGTGAGGACATGGCCACATCGGAGGGGGTTTAAGGGGGCAGTGGAGAGGCTGCTTCTCTGTTTAAACGCTGATGACAGGCCTCCTTTAAGAGTCATGATCTTAAGGGCCGGCCCCGTGGCCAGGTGGTTAAGTTTGCATGCTCCACTTCAGTGGCCCCGCATTTCGCCAGTTCAGATCCTGGGCCTGGACAGGGCACTGCTCATCAGGCCATGCTGAGGTTGCACCCCACACAGCACAGCCAGGAGGACCCACAACTAGAATAAGCAACTATGTACTGGGGGGCTTTAGGGAGAACAAGAAGGAAAAGAAAAAAAGAGTCATGATCTTAGCATCTTGTTTCAGGAATTAATACAATAATTGTTTTTAGCCCAATATTAGAGCTATAGGTGGGAGGGAAGTGGGGAGGAACCTCCTCTTTATAGCCATAGGAGATTCTTCCAGGAAAACTGAGGAGGGGGAGACGGTAATGAAGGCTGGGTTTGGGAGAAAAGGCTGCAGCCACTGTGTTAACTGCTCTCACTTCCTTGCCTTCTTAATAACTGACACCAAAACACCCAACAGCAACAATGAAGCAGGCCCGTGTGTCCATACAGCTGGGGTCAGACAACTCCGAACAAACCTGCACGTTGAACTTGGGCAGCCTCAGACAAAGGACGGCTCTGCTGAGCATGGACTGTGGCGAATGAAGATAGGAAGTGAGAAGGCTTTTGGGGTCTATAAAATAAGCCTCTTCACCAGAAAACACAGACAAATGGCCCCACCATCCAGGCCAACATGCTTCAAAGAAAACCAAAAAAAAAAAAAAAAGGCTTGCCCTTACTAGGATGTTTGAGAAATCTGATGACAGGACAGAAAGGGAATTCTGGGGAATAAACGCATTCCAGTGAGCCTGAAGCAGCCATAAAATCTGACAGTGCTTTTAAAACTCCAGGAGCACTCTGCTGCCAGCTTTGCAAAGAGCAGGCTGAGGCTCCACACGCAGCAATCATCCAGACGGATAACACAGACGAACCTGAGCTGAGATGTGCACACACAGCGGGGATGGAACGGTGATAAAACTGCACGTACCTGATACTCAGGAATGGACCTGACTGCCTCCACGACCGCCAGGGACATCAGATGCTGGACAAACGGAATCCTCTGTCCCAGCTGGGATCTCAGCGGGATGGAGACAAGCAGGGTAGAAAGAGCGCATCCCACGGGGCTCAGCCAAGCATTCCTTCCCCGCCCTGGAACACAGGCCCCATCAGGAAACCGGCCACTTTGCCACGTGGACAGACTCAGATGCACGTTGTGCCAGAAAATGTGCTGAGGACTCAGAGCCACACACTGAAGATGTGTCCTACTTGAATAAACCTGGACTGATAAAGATGCTTGGAGATTCTGGGGTTAACTCAGTCAAAGAGAAGCTTTTAAAATCTGAAGCTCTGCTGCTGAACAAGTTGCCAATAATTAGCATAATGTTCTGCCTCTGTGAGCATATCATTAATGCACTGATGATTCAAAGTCTTACAGTGTCTGAGCATCACTCTCGGTTTACTTCTCACCGTATGGTAATGCAGGCAAAAGCAGAGACAGTGGGAAAACTGGACCAAATCTATACTGGTCCAGGAGAGGTCCTGGAAGCCACTTTTTAGAAGTGATCCCTATTGTGGTGATGGTCCCAAAGCCCTGTGAATATATTAAAAGCCACAGAGTCATACACTCTAAATGGGGGAACTGTGTGGTATGTGAATTATATCTCACTATTATAAAGAAAAAAAAAAAGAAGCTGAATTTAAAAAGTGATCCCTGATATTAACTTTAAGTTATTTCCTTTAAAATAGAAGTCAAGAAAATAAAATATCAAAATGGGAGGGATAATCAAAGTTCTTCTATGTCTTTTTTTTTAAACCACCATATTGAGCCCCACAGGTTTGGATAAAATGAGTTTTTCTCTTTTGAGTTCTCTTCAAAAGACACGTCCAAGAGAAAGAAGCGGAAAACGGTGGATTTGCTATTTCGTTGCTTCTTCTGAGAAAGGCCCAAGAGGCTCTGAGAGTTAAAGCCTGTCTAGGTTGGCCTGGCACCAGCTGGGGTGGGGAGGGGGAGGGCCAAGTGCATCCTGCACGACCACCAAGCAGGGAATCCACTCTCAGCCAGACCCCAAATGGATTCTGGGAGGATGGGGGCTCTCACCTCCGAGGGTCGGCTGGTGGTGGAACCTCTGAGCAACCCTCGGCCTCTCTGTGGTCACTTTGTGAATGATCATTAATCATTGATCAAGTGCCCACTCCATGCAAATTCCAGTGCCAGCAGGGTGGGGGCTGGCAGATGAAAAGCCCCCCCGCATATCACATTGAGCATAGACACAGAAGGTGCCTCACAGAGAACCTTCAGGAAAATAAATGTTTCTATAACACAGTTAGGATTCACACACTACAGTGCCTAGAATGTGTCAGAAAGTAGAATTTACAAGATGTAGGTAACAGAATGTTAAAACCATCACAAGCGAATGTCAAGTGATTAATAAACATCTCGGGTTGAGAGAATGCTTTAATCCCACTAAGGCTCCATCTTCTGGTCAATTCCCCTCCCTCTTCCTCCCTGTTAGGGGGTGTGACAACAGATGACTTCTCACAAGAGTCGTCTCGGCCATCGGCACACACAGTCAGCTCTCTGGCCGTGAGTGTCACAGATTTCAGAAAACAAAAACAACGGGAACAATAACAAAAGATGACTGACCTTTGCCCTGCGTTTGGCGGACTGCGATGGCTATTAAACCCATTTCCTGCGGCATCTCAAACATCAACCTGTGGACGGTGGGAAAGACTGGTCAGCCAGAACAGGCGAGGACATGAGAACCCGCAGCTCAAAGGGAGGGACACTGTTTGCACTCATTTGTGAATGTGTGGCTAAGGAAGGGCCACCTTCCGGGTTTCAAGGGATACTGACCCCACTCCCAGCCTCTATGGTGAGAATGATGGAAAAGGGATTAAGAAAACACCATTTAATACCAAAAAAGATTAGGCAGGAATCTGAGAGGGCATGTGTACCTGCCTGAGTTATTATTCAGTTTTATTGAAGATGTTATTAGATTATATTTCTTTGGAAATATCCTACCCTATCAAGTTCTTTCTCCCCACTCTAATGTAGGGTCCCTTCCTCGAGTGACAACTAGCAATTCCTGACATTTGTTTCTACTTACGGTGCGTTTCTGTCCGAACACTAGAACATAATCATAACACAAGTTTCTGATTATTCACCAAACCAATATGGTGGCAATAAAGCCGTTTAAAAGATACACTGTCCCCTGAGAACTAATTATGTTTTAACCATAGTAAATAAATCTACACCTTCTGAGAACTAGGGAGAAGCTTGGGTCGTTTTAGGCTTCAGTTCTGCTTTTAAAATGGTTTCATTTAAAAGAATACCAACTTCCCTTTGGGGGAGAGGTAGAAAAGTGCACTATATCTCCACCGAATGAGTCAACATGAACTCTTTTTTTTCAGAAAAGGAAAGGAAAAAAATCCCTCACTCTGAGAATTTCTTGCCTGATACGTTCCACATATTTGAGCTCCGTTCGGAAGGTTTTCCTCTGTGTGCCCGGGAGATGCTGACCAGGGACGGAGCAGGCACAGCTCATGGTAGGATTTATTCAACAAAGCGAAAATCAGGTTTTCCCACTGTCTGTGCAGCTGCTGGGGCCTCTCTGAAATTCTTTTTCGGGGAGGGAAGTGGCGAAGGCAGGGATGAGGGAGAGATGGCATTTGGTATAAACATAAAGTTTCCAAGAATAGTTCCCAGGGTTCCACAGCACCCCTGTGCGGAGGAGAAGGGACTCTAAAGGAAGCCCATGCTCTGACAGCTCTTCATCCCCTCCTCCGGGCACTGGGAACAGGATGGAACTTTACAAATGGCAAGAGAAGAGAAATACGTAAAAGCGGAGAAAGAGCATGGTGTCTCTGCACCAGTGGCTCACAGAGCTGTGCCCCGGTGTGGAGGCGCCCAGAAGACCCCTTTCCTTGCTGGGAAGAGCCGGGCCACTTCGGGCAGGGGGCTGGGTTGGTCCAACAGGCACAGGGCACTCCCAGTGAGCAGGCCGCCCCACGGTCTGCGTGCCAAGCCCACTTCCATCTCACATGAAATACAACTCCAGAAGTATTTCTCTTGGACACCATGAATAACCCATTGAGATCGGCTGCGCCTATATGCTGCTGGGCTCCAAGAATAAAGCGTCCTTTTCCTGTGTTGGACTGGGAGAAAATCCTAAGAAGGAATCCTTGTCCATGTGGGGAAGAACCATTGTCTTCTAGAAACCTCTTGCTTTCCAGAGAGCAGCAGCACCCCTTCACCTGGGCTCCTAAGGCCGCGGGCTTGGCTCAGGGTAGGGGGGTGGCTAACAAACTTCTCTGTGGGAAGGCGGGGATGATTTAGCACATTGTGAGCAGATAGTGAAATCTCTCTCAATGGCAGGCAATCTAGGATGTTCTTTAAATAGACATGTAGATGGTAGACAGTCATGTCTATAGCCAGTGATGGCGATGGTGGAATTAGGCTGGGGTGGGGATGGGGGGAGGGAGGTGAGGTTCAGAAACCAAACACAGACTTCCAGAACAAAGAGAAATGATTAAGGGAACATATGCACTAAACTGCTGGAGGTTTGGCAGCAGTTAACAGGGCATATTGATGAGAAGATGGAGTTTGTGCTGCTGAAGGCCAAGAGGAAATTCTGCAAGGAGGGAGACAACGGGGGGAAGGAGGTACGGCTTAGCTTGAGACAACTGGAGGCCGCCAGATTTACTTGTGCTATCTGAGATAACTCCGGGGGCCAAACCACACGGCTCACGGTCAACAAAGAAGCATTTATGAACTTTGTAAATTTTGCATTTCTGAAAATGAAGTTGCTAGAGTTTGCTTTAGCAGAAAGGAGACACTGTACACGCACTTCCATCCTGAGCTGATGATGTTCTCACAAAAGGAAACAGAAAAAGAACAAAAAGGAGGGTGTTACATAATGATTACTTCCCTGTCTCTGTATATTTTCCTTCCTTGTTTGGCAAAGGCTGTGGAATAAAAGGTTTCTGTGAGTGGCAGCCAAGTGCGTTGAATGTCATACCAACGGGGCACCAAGAAAAGTGTTCTGTTTCTGTCTGAAACATCCGGAGCCCTGTAAAGGTCACTTTGCAAATGGGACAGCATCCTGACCACTTTGGTTGCTAAGGACATCATATCATAGCTCCTACTGGACGCTCTGCCAACGGGAACGTCCTGAATTTCACGTGGTCATTGGAATAAAGCTTCAACAATAAGACTAATCTAGAAGACAGGCCAGTGTGAATTAGTGAAAATTCTGAATGAACAAAAATTTTAATTAAGCCCAGTCAATCCACTTTGGGGATTCAAACCTAAGGAAATAGTCCACATTTACCAGAGTGCTATAAAAGTAAAACTTTAGAAAGAATCTATGTGTCCAGTAGGGGAATGGATAAGTAAATTATGGTACATGAAGTCAATGGAGTAATTTGTAGTCATTAAAAATGACAGTTATGAAGACTATTAGCAACACGGAAGAAAGGCTTGCAACAGAACATTAAGTTTAAAGAGCAGGATAAAAAACTACACCCACTTTTATTCCAACTATGTAAAATTCATAGAAAAGGGAGGGAGATTTGACAAAACAATAATGGTGGCTTTATCAGGATGACTTTTTTCCTTTTCTTTTATTTTTAAACTTTAAGATGATCGGTTACCTTTAATTTTACAATTATTTTGAAAAACGTGGGGGGAAAAAGCATGACTTTTATGTTCAGATATAATATTTGTAATTAACTATTCATAAATATTTCTAAGAATAGGACAAAAAGATCTTTAAAAATAAATAAAAAAATAATTATTTATGTCACCCATTTTCCTTATAAGCACTTAGCAGGAGCTTATTTGAGGGTAATTAATGAATGGAAATTCTTAAAACTAGTCTGTTCATATGAATGAGAGCCTTAAAAATTTTATACCTTCTGACTCATCGACTGTGCTTGTAAGATTGAATCCTAAGGAGTATTCAGAGAGGGGAACAAAATAATTCAAGGGCACAACTATTCATCACAGCCTTACACTGTGAAAAGTCAGAAACAATACAAACAGTCCATGATAGGGGAATGAAAAGAAATCATAGCATCCCCACATGAAAAAATATCGTGTAGCCGTCAGCGATATGGGCAAACGTCCATTGGACACCCTTAGGTCATTTAATCAGGATGCAAAAGTCTATATACAGTGTGTTCCCAGGATGTCTTAAGATATACTTTAAAAAATTTTAGGAAATATAACAAAATATTAGCTGTGATTATTTTGAGAAGTGTAATTATTTGAAAAGTATAGAAAAGTACCACGCAGAAAATAAGCCATCCATACAAGCCCTTCTTCTTATTAAAAAAGTATATTCTTTTAGACTTTTTCCCCTTTTAAAAAAATACACATGGATGTATTTTACAAAATAAGTTTCTGACAACTGGAAAAATTCCTTATTTTGGAGCTATTGAAATGATGTTGTAGATGGATAGTTATAGATGTTATTATGTTGACAATTAAAAAGGCAGGCTTAGAAACAGCATTATTGATCCAATTTATGTAGGCTACGTATTCCTATGTGCATTTATAGAAGAATACAGGACACCGATTAACAGTGGTTATCTCCAGAATGTGGAGGCAGAATTATATGATGATTTTAATTTCTTCTTTATGTTCTTCTGCGTAACCTTTGGGTGGTAAGGTTTCAAGCAGTTTTTATTTTCTTCTTTATATTTTTCTGAATTTTCCAGTATTTCTAGACTTGAAGTAGATTCATTTTATAATCAAGGAAAATGCTATTTAAAAAAAGATGTATTTAAACCCAATTTTTCTTTAAGTAGGTTAAGCATGCACCCGCCAGCTCATGCTCTCCCGAGAAATCACAGACTCACAATGCAGCGGCAGCCAAGGGTCTGAGCTTCACCAGGCTTGCTGTATGAATCCTCCCAGTAACTCACACATCACACATATGGCCACACTTGTCCCTCAGACTAGTTCCCTGGTGGAGCATGTGGCCTATGCAATGGCGGCAGGCTGAGTCCAGGTTACGTCCTCACACAGACTGCCTCTGGGTGGGGGAGACGGCGCGCACGGGCTGCCAGCATCCTCGGGGTCTGCATGCTGGGGGCACTGAGGAGCTCCATCAACTGTGTTCTTGGTGCACATGCTGCATCTTTTCTTTGATGTTTTCTCCCCCCAATTTTCTCAGTTTTGACTTCTCTTTTCTTAGTGTTCAGAAAGACATTCTCAGACAGTCCCCTCATGTTTGGTGTGTATGTGAAAAAGAAACCCAACAAGGGCGTAGGGAGGAGGCAGGAGGAGGAAGACGACCCAGGAAGTCAGATTTTAAGGTTAACTACTTATTTCTGATTTTGAAAAACTTCCCTGGAAGATGAAGTCTCACTATTCATAACCCTGTTGACTTCTGTGTAGTTCAAAGAAACAGTCCTAACTTCATTTCAAAAACTATGTTTTTTAATGTATTACATTTGAACACCAATCATTATATTTGGGTAGCACTTTTTAAAAAGTTATAAAGCTAAATATTAAGATATTTTGTTTTTTAAAAAGTATCACTCTAACGGAACCACCAATTTTTTTAAAAAGCTATCTTCTGTGCAAGAATGCATAGTGTTACTTTTTGAAAGAAAAATGAGTAGTGGTTCCTGCTAACAACAACACAGAAAATGGAGCAAGGGGCATGGCAGGGTCCTACAATGCACAGGGACGTGGTCTGGGGTGG